TTTCCTCGTGGGTTTTCCACCCCCCACTCGAAGCACCGACAGCCTTAGGCAGCGCTGGCTGTGCGTGTCAGGGTCCATCCCCCTGCCGTGGGTGGGTATTCACTCTGTCCCTCCCACGCTGAGCCAGGAGGAGGATCACCACCGGGCTGCCCTCACCTCTCGTCTCTTCCTTGTGCTCTCCCTCTCGTCCCTCTCTTTGGTATGAATCGTCCTCTCCCCTCTGTGTTAGTTGATTGAGCTGTTTTTCGTAGGTGTGTCCCAAACTCAACGTTAATGGTGCTGTTCTTAAAAAAAAAATAACCAAAAAAAAAAGAGAAAACACTAAGGAAAAAAAACCCTCCCTTCCTAAGCGAAGCAGCACAGCAGAGCCCTTGAAAAGTGACATTGTAAAAACTGTACATGGTGTTTGGAACTTTGTAATAAAACTGTTACAAAGACCTCGTCCCCGGAGGTGCCGATTGCGGTGTCCTGCTGTCATGGAGAGGGAGCCTGCGTGTGGGAAGAGGAGTCCCCAGCCTGACCCCATGGGTAGGTGGCTCCTGGGATTGTGTGTCCCCCCCGTGGGCTCACACAGCCCCTGCTTGTGCCTGGTTCGCTGGGGTGGGTCAGAGCTCCCCGGGAGGGAGGGAGCCCTTTGGCAGCCACTGGGGCGTTCCCGGCCTGAATAGCGGGTGTTGTGCAAGCCACTGCTTTTTCCTTTCAGCTCATTAGTCAGCCATGGTAGGATTACGGCCTCCCCTTTTATCCTGCTGCAGCTTCCCACCCTGCCAGGAGCTRGGAACAGCGGCCAGCTCGGCCTGTATAAATCCAGCCTGTGTTTTGCACGTTTCAGAGGTTYCCCTGTTGAGCAGAGATGAACCGACTGGTGAGGAGTTACAGGAGTTCCAGTTCAGCACCTCCTGGCAGCGGTGAGGTCAGGAGTGCCCGAGCTTGGACACCCCACAGCACAGCCAGCTCTGGCCAGCTCGGACACCCCACAGCACACCCAGCCCTGGCCAGCTCAGACACCCCACAGCACAGCCAGCCCTGGCCAGCCTGGCCCGTGGCAGGGTTAGAGTGATTGTTGGAGCACGGGGTTTGGGTGAGCACAGGCAGGACCTGTCCTGGTGGCAGCAATCTGGCCTTTCTGACCCCAAAACCACTGCCAGCAGCAGCCTGGCTGGGCCAGCACAGATGAGGGAACTGAGGGCTCCGCGGATGTTTGGGTGAGAAGGGCTGGAGCAGGAGGGAAGCCGCTGAGGAGAGGCCAGGGCTGCTACCCGGCCTTTCCCTTGTTTCACTGCGATCACCCTTCCCTTCTCTCTAGCATCACCATGTGGCCACCACATCCACTGCGAGCCACACACKCATCCCAGCACGGCTCCAGCCTTAAATACTCATTTACTACAAACCAAACAGCCYGAGCTGCTCGTTTATTAACTCTCAAGGGAACCGAAGGGAAGAGGTGCTCCTTCAGCACCCAAACTGCAACAGTTCAGCCCGGTACAGGGAGCTTCTCCCTGCCATCCTCCTGCTTGTGCCTCCACAGCAGCTGCCTCTTGCCCTCGAAGAGCACGATGCCAGCAGCAATAGCAGAGTTCAAGCTGTCCACGCCTGGCACCACGGGAATGACCAGTCTCTTTCCCCCTGTGCTGGCTGCCAGCTGAAGTGCAGCTGGACTCAGGCCATGGGTCTCCCCTCCGATCACCACGGCCACTGGAATCTGTGCCCAGTCTTCATAGTAATGCTGTGCAGCCAGCTCTGGGATTCCTGCTGCTCCCTCCTCATCCTCATGCTCAGGAGCAGCCTCGGGGCTGGGTTTCACAGGAGTTTTTGGGCTGTCAGGAGCAGAGCCAGCCCTGCCAGCCCCTCTGGGCACGGGCGTGGTGCCGGCCAGAGCTCCTGGGTCATTGTCGGCCACGCAGACCTGGATGCCATCGGGAAGGTTGGTGGGAATGGATTCCCAGTCCAGGTTGGCGATGATGGGCACACGGAAGTGAGCCCCCATTCCTGCACGGAGCACCTTTGGCTCCCAGGGATCCACACAGCCTGGGAAGGAACGGGAAGAAACAGTGACAGTGCAGGGACTTCCACAAAGATGGGATTCAGCAGCCACAGGAACCACACCAAACCCTCCCTCACAAGCATCTTCAAGCACCTCATTCTCTGCCTTACCCCCAGGTTACTCAAACTTTCCTCTTACCTTTGGTGAGCAGCACTTTCTCACAGCCTGCTCCTGCTGCAGATCTGAGAATGGTTCCCAGGTTTCCTGGATCTCGGATGTTGTCGCAGATGAGGAGCAGTGGCAGGGAGTTGGTGAGCTGAGCAGCAGGGTAGGACATCTTGGCAGGGTCTGGCTTGGAAAAGATGCCTGAGGAAATGAAGTGTGACAGGTTTGTGACTGACTCACCCCAAGGACAGGCCTGCTCTGWGAGAGTTGGCCCAAATCCCAATAAAAATGTGCTGGAGGAAGTGTTAAGAAAAGCACCACCTAAAGGAAGTTCGAGCAGARTTTGTCACTTGGCAAGGAAAACTTATTTCCCAGCAGGGCTGGAGCATCATTGCTATGTCTAAGGAAAGATCATTAAGTCATTATCCTAAATATGGAAAGTTTCYCTTTCAGCAGCATTGCTTGTTGGAATTTTCATTCCAAGTTGTTACAGAGGCAACTTACCTAGAAGCCCCTGAGGAGTTACGAGGTCAGACCAGGTTTTAATGTCTTCAAATTTCACTTTAACCAAGCTGGCTCCTTTAATCTCTGCCTCAGGCAGCAGCTTCAGGTGCCCCACGGTGCTGAAGAAGAGCGTTTGTGGCACAGCTCCTGCCTCCAGTGCATCCTTGATCAGCCTGTGCCCCTCCAGCAGAACCTTCCCGTGATTATCCCGGAACTTCTTTGACTTGGCGATAGTCACMACTTTTCTGTGGAGAAATTATTCAGAGAACGTGGCTGTGACACTGACAACACCTTCAGTGTGACCTTTGGCAGCTCCCAAGAGCTTCASTGGGAGSWCACAAAGATGATCAGAGGGATGGAGCACCTCTCCTGCGGGGAAAGGCTGGGCAAGTTGAGACTGTTCAGCCTGGAGAAGGCTCTGGGGTCACCTTAGAGCACCTTTCGGTACCTGAAGGCGCTCTGAGAGAGCTGGGGAAGGACTTCCAGAAGGGCCTGGAGTGGCAGGTCAAGGGGGAATGGCTTTAAACTGCCAGAGGACAGGGTTAGATTGGATATTGGGAAGAAATTAATCCCTTTGAGGGTGGTGAGGCCCTAGCACAGGGTGCCCAGAGAGGCTGTGGCTGCCCCTGGATCCCTGGAAGTGTCCAAGGCCAGGTTGGATGATGCTTGGAGCACCCTGGGACAGTGGAAGGTGTTCCTGCCCATGGCAGAGGTGGCACTGGATGATCTTTAAGATCCCTTCCAACTCCCCGTTTCTGTGAAGCACCCCCGGTACCTTCAGCCCGGCAATGGGTGTCAGTCTCCCCCATCACCCCCAGGAGCGGAATKTCCCTCCCATTCCGCTGTGCCCCGGCTATCCCAGCGCTGCTTCCACGGCGGGACACGGCCGGGCCCCGCTCCCCGCGCTCACCCCAGCCTGCGGTCCCCGGGCGCCGCTTTCTCGTACCACAGCCCCGGCGCGGCCGCACTGCGCTCCACAGCGGGCGGAGGCGACTGCGGTTG